CTATTCATTTGTTTCCCGGGTCTGTCACTGGTGCTGCCGCCCTTTTCCGCTGGCCATGTAGCATTTCTATTCATTTGTCTCCCATGTGATTTCTTTCTTTTTGTCTTTCAGGTTTGGTGCCTGCACTGCTGTTTTCTGCCCTGTCCGCTGGAACAGGTTCGCCTGTGAAAGGTTCTTGCTCCTTTGCAAGGGGTGCGTGACTGTCTCCGGGATTGCATTCCTGCCACACTGTGTAACTCTCTCAGCTTTGTTTTCCTTTTCGGGCAACCGTTGGATGAATGCCGGATTGGATTTTGGCGGCGTGGCAGCGATCTCTCTGTTCAGTTGGGGCGGAGGGCATACGTCAGGCACCAGAAATCAATTTCATGTCACACCCTTCGCTCCTCATGCTTTTGTTTCTTGTCCTCACGTGGTCAGCACCCCGCTGACTGAGCAGCATGACCAGCATCATGTTCGCGCTTGAAGAATAATTCCCCAAAAGGTTTACTGTTAGGGCTTCTCACTTCTTTCTTAAGATGTGTCCGCCCGCTCTGTACTGCTGTGTCCGTCTCTGCCTTGCAATCCTTTACATTTGTCTCCCAGCTCTGGACGTCGCAAGCTCTAGTTTCGATTTTGAAAAACACAAACTGTTTGGGGTCTACGGTGGTGTAATTTAGTTTAGTTGTTAGTGGGGGGCAGAGCAAGACGAGGCAAGCATTTTCGTGGACGGAAGATGGGTGTGGACGGGGCTGTGGGTGGAGATGGGAGAGCGGACGGGCGTGGACGGGGCTGTGGAAGGAAGATGGATTCTAAGTACAACGAAGCATGGGGGGGCTAATGCTTCTCCATGCCTCGCGGAAGAACGTTATTGCGCGAGTGGAACTGTCTGGCGCGGCCTATATGACGGTCTTGGGTGTCCAGAATGTGTGCAATGTATGCCGAAGACAGCCCAAGTCATTGTAGAAACGGCAGGATGGTTGCGTGCCAGAGCCGCAATGCTTCAAATTTCATGGTTGGAACGAAGCATAGAGGGAGCTGATGCTGCTCCACGCTTCCTGGAAGGGGTGGTAGAAGCCATGTTGCAATCGTTTTATGACCGTTTTGGAGGGCTGTCCAAACTGACCAAGGGGTGGACAGTGCACGGGGGTGTATATGGCAAACGGGGGTGGACGGATGCGCACCAGAACCGCGATGCTTGAAATATCATGGTTGCCACGAAGCCTGGAGGGGGCTGATGCTTCGTTTTGGCCTGCTAATGTGTGTTTGTTTATTTTTCCTGGGTTGCGCGCTTCTTTTTGCTTTTGGGTCCGCGGGCTCAAGTTGTTTTCTGACCCACGACCCTTCTTTTCTGACCCACAACCCTTCTTCCGCTTGACATCATGGAAACCCACCTTCTGCAAAGCTTCCACTGCAGCTTTGGCGCAGGTCTCCAGGAAGTCATCAAACTCCTCACGAAAAACACGACATTGAAGCGGCCAAGGTAAAGAACAATGTTAACAATCCTCGTCTCTCAAACAGCACGGAAAATCCTTCGGAAACTCGTGAAACACTAGCGCCCTGGTTGAAACATTAAGGGTTCAGCAACAACATGGCAGTCTGTCCAGCTGGGGGGTGGAGGGGGTCCATGCGTGATGCATAGATGTCATACGGTATATAATGGTGAAGCACAGGAAGAACCAAGACTTATGTTGCTTTCAGCTTCAGGGTTGAGGTCATATTTGAATCTTTTAAGTGGCCCGGCTTATCCAACAGCGCAACGAGACTTCCTTGAGGCCGTGCTGAGCGTTCATGATCCTTCCAACATGACCACTTCCTGATCCTTCTGCAAAACAATCCCATAACAATCCACTGACGCACCGTTTCCTGTGGTTCCTGGCTTAGTTATATAAGTGTTTGCAGTACTCGGCTGGGTCACCCGGGCCCAGTCACTCAACAAGCCAGAGGCCGCGGCACCGCTAGAAGGATCACTGGTATTTCCTGCTGCCGGCCTAGGAGTGGCGGCACGCCCGGAACACGACCGGCAACTCGATAAGGACAACTGCGGTCTCTACTAAGCAATGGAACAACAGTCAAACCCAACGAGGCCTTGACTCTAGCTGGTCCACCAGGATCACACATTCTGGCAGATCACTTTCCATTCACTTCCCATGTCCAGCGATGCGTTCGCACCAACACACAGGGGGTCCCCGAAGAGAAGAAGACGTCGCGCGGCGCTAACACACCGGGTGATGCCCGGTGCTTGGTTCGTCTGTGGCAAACAGAAGACAAGCAACTCATGGTGAAAACCAGACAAGCGGATGGAGACGCTGATATGTTTTGAAGACAAGTACTCCTCATCAGTTCCGTCAAGCCAACACGCCATCTACCTGTGACGGAAACTCTGCTGTAGAGATCCTGTCTCCATGGCAGTCACGATCCTATTCACCTCTGAAGGGACTTAAGAGATCTTAAGAGCAATTTTTGTAACTTTTGACCACTGCTACAATACAGA